CTCTGGACATGTCCAAACCACTGTCCCTCCTCTGGACATGTCCAAACTACTGTCCCTCCTCTGGACATGTCCAAACCACTGTCCCTCCTCTGGATATGTCCAAACTACTGTCTTTCCTCTGGACATGTCCAAACCATCTCAGTCTGGCCTCTAACTTTATCTCCCAGTTGTTCAACCTGTGCTGTACCTCTGATGATCTCATTCCTGATCTTATCCATCCTTGTCACTCCTAAGGAGAACCTCAACATCTTCATTTCTGACACTTCCAGTTCTTTCTCCTGTCTTTTTGTCCATGTCTCTGTCTCCAGACCATACAACATAACTGGTCTCACCACTGTCTTGTAAACTTTTCCTTTGACCTTTAATGACACCCTTTTGTCACAAGTCACTCCTGATACTTTTCTCCATCCACTCCATCCTGCCTGGACTCTCTCTTCTCCTCTTTATCATACTCCCCATTTTCCTGGACAGTGGACCCCAAGTCCTTGAAGTCCTGCACCTTTGTGACCTCTGCTCCTTGTAGCCTCACTGTTCCACCTCCTCCATCTCATTCACACACATGGACTCTGTCTTACTACAGCTGACTTTCTTTCCTCTTCTTTCAAGTGCATACCTCCACCTCTCCAAGTTCTCTTCCACCTGTTCCCTGTTTTCACCACAGATCACAACAATGTCATCTACAAACATCATAGTCCACGGGGATTTAAAACAGAATAATGGAGAATAAAAAACTGAGGAATGATAGTTTTTAACCTAAACTTTGTTGTCATGTATGTGTGTGTGTGTATGTATATATATATATATATATATTATGTCTTATGTATGAAATGTTCTAATTTAGTTATCAACAAACAAAAGCTTTTGTTTGGACCTTCACATTGTAGGTAAGTTGTAATTAAAAATTTGAAATGTGTAGTTTAAGGACTCGCTGAATGAGAGATCAAACGCAGGTGTTTAAACAGTTTCTATTAGTTTAGAAAAATAGAACAAATGTACTAACTTTTCTTTATGGAGTCATTGGGGTGAAGTGTGCAGCAGCTTCTGTAAACTGTTCAGCTGTGTGTTGTCTTCTCTCTCTTCCAGCGGGGAGTTCGGCCTGTGGCTGGACGGGGACCTTTACCACGGACGGAGTCACTCGTGTAAAACGTTTGGAAACCCCATGCTTTCGAAAAAGGAGGACTTCTATGTACAGGACATCGAGATCTGGGCTTTTGAATAACACATCGGTCCAACACAGGGAGAAACAAACTGTCCTGCGAAGGGCAAACCCTGGGGGTCCTCCTCCTTTAGAACAATGGCAGCGCCCCGAACCTACCTGCACACCACCTGGGCTCCCCGTCTGGAAGCCGACTCTCGGATGCTTGTTGTGCGTTACTACTGCAGTTAATACGGAGCTTCGTTTTTTCTTTGTGGAAAATTACCTTTGTGTGTATCTTGTTACAGCCTTGTGCCGCCTCTTTGCAGTGTAGGGGGGAGTGTGAGGAGAAGTCGAGGTGTGTCACCGGGGTGAAAGGAAGGAAGCAGGGGTGGGGGGGGACCACGGGGCCTTGCAGAGGGCTTTCAGACCTCCTCTCTAGTTTGGCACTGCTGTGAGAAGAGACAGCAGGCCTTTCAGGTTCTGGACCTGCATCAGAACTTTACGCAACCTCAAGGAGTTCCCTCCTGCACCCTCTTGGACCCCCCCTCATCCTTTGTTCATTCAGCAGGTTGTTCCTACAAAGAGAGGCCCAGTTAGAAGGAAAGAGCTGAACACATTCCATTATTCTTGATTGTGGAGTGTCAAAATAAAAGTGATCTGTGGTGAGAATAAACACACATCTGCAACAGGACGTGACGCTGGAACCAGAAGAGAAAAGAGAATCTTTGCTGTTTGAAGTAACGGAGGGCGGGGTTCAGTCTCCAGTCCCGTCTCTCCACCGAGGCTTAACTTATTCAGTATTGTGTGTCGTAGTCCTCCTGTCGTTCTCTGTCATAGCACACCATCTGAAAGCACATAGCTATAACCAGATCACATCGTCGTATCGTTCTGTTCAGTGGGTGTACGTGTGAGTCCAGCTAGCACCGGCTCCTCTCGTCTGGACGCCGGCTGTACTGTTCGTAGACAGTAACGTGTTGCAATAGATTCGTGAAATATGCAAATAACTGTCCTGTGACCTCAAATAACCCACAGGTCGCGGCTCTTTCGCCGCCGCCTGTCGCTCTCCGAGGAGAGGAACTTGTAGAGCTTTTACGTCTTGATACACAACTGATTCTCTGGGTATCAATGAGATGTGGTTAACTGTTTTACATGCATATATGACAACTCTGTACCAGTATATATGATTATATATGGGTTTATATAATCATATATAGACAAATATATATATATATATAATTTGCTGTTGAGTGTGACAGTGATATTTGTGCTGCAATTTCAGCAGTTACTATAAAATGTATATTACCCTGTAAATTATTGTTAAAATAGATTGTTCCTATATATATATATAAAAATACTCAATGATTATATATATATAATATATATATATATATATTATATATAATATATATATATATAAAGTGTGGATTGATGAGTTGCTTCTGCCACTTTAATCTGGTGTAAAAAGCATCAAAGCCAGGTTCTTAGATTATTTTAGTAGTAGCTGTACAGTACTTTTTTTGTTAATAATAGCTGTTAACTGTTAGTAGATGGCTTGCTGCTACCCATAACAGGAATATTCCCCATTGCTTTGAGGAGGAGGATGACTGTGAGGAAGAAGCATGTGGATAAACATGGCAGCAGGATTCTGTTTCTCTCCACACATGGCCGATCGGTGAGCCTGACCAGGTATGAAGATGGACGGGCGACAAACGTGCAGGTTGAACAGTGGACAGTACCTGACCCGCCCTCGTGGACTCTTTGGTCTCTACTCTGGTCTTCCACACCAGTATTTGTGTCCATGTGGAAACTCACAGAGCAGAAATGGAAATCTCTTCTGATTATGTCACCAGAGCAATGTAACAGTGATGTATAAATACCAATAAAATTAAAGTCTGTTCAAATTTGACATATTCCTGAATTTTGGTGCTTTGTACACTTTTGATCATCACCCACCACCACAAGGTGGGTGATGAGTGTGCCCATTTATGTCTGTTAGCAAAACATCTCGATACTGGATGGATTTTAATGAAACCTACAGAAAGGCATGATTGAATGTACGTGTAATACAAAAGAGCTGAAGGAGCCAGCAGAATTAAAGATGGCTGCCACAGCCAACTGACCTTAAACACAAAAATGTAACTGAATGACAGCGACTGAGATCAAATTCAGAGGTGGTGGCTGAGAACACAATCTGAGGACAACGTCTTGTATCGAGTTTACAAATAGTTTTAAAGATTTGACTCAATTAGCTGCAAATTCTGTTGCTTCTTAATCTGATCTTAGTCTAAAACTCTTCTTTCATTAATTCAACCTTTATTTATTCAGGTTAATCCCATCGAGCCTCAGGGACTCATTTACAAGAGACCTGATTTTAACAAAGAGTGATGACAACAGTGGACAACAACGATAAACAATCATAAAAGACACGTACAAATGGAGATCTTTTTTTAACAAGTGAAAATAAGTTTGTATTTAAAAGAAAATGTAACAACAAAGCAGTTAGATTGTAGGGCGGTGTAGAAAACTACAAACGAGTCTGCATTGGTTTTTCCCAGTAACTTAAAACCCTTGTGTTGTCTTGCAGGTCAAAAGTGACCCACTACCACGTTTATCTAGAAAAAACACCTGAAATGATCTGTTTTCAACTTGACATTTTATGACTTTTCCTAAACCCCATCATTAGAAAAAGGGATACTTTGTTTTTGTTTATGTTTACATGTGGGCTGTACACCACTAGGGTACTACTACCCGTGAATTATAAAAGCATTTAAACACCAGAAAAAAAGTTCAAAGGCCACACACGAACTCTTTGTAATACGCACACACATGCACACACACCAAAGAAACTGGAACTTGCATTTGACCTGCATATACATGGAATATGCACGTGTACACAGAGAAGCTGCCGAGTGGAGCGCCAGAGAAGAGCCAGGGGGTGTGCTTGAATTGACAGTTGGACTGAGGGGGCACAATGTCACATGTGACTTTCACCTCCTATGAAGTCGGCCAGCAGCTCGTGAAAAGAAAGATGAGCATGGTTGGCACTGTTTGTAAGAATAAGCCTGAACTCCTCACAACAAGAGGCAGAGCGGTCGTCTCATCAAGGTTTGCCTTCTCTCCCACCATCACTCTTGTTTCTTATGTTGCAAAAAGGAACAAGAACGTGGCCCTGCTGAGCACACTGCACAAGACGGCTGAAATCAGTGCTGGTGAGGACAGGAAGCCAGCCATCATCTTCAACTAACTGCAATAAAGGAGGCGTGGACAACCTGGACATGCTGTCCCCTGGTCATCTTCCATAACATTGATGTGTCCTCATATAATGTCTTTGTGATATGGCAGGAGATCAACCTGACCTGGATGTCTGGGAAGAAAAGGATGTTCCTTGAGCATTTGGAAGGTTCTTGTCACCGTGCATTGAGAGAAGCCTCTGCAGCCACTGTGGAAACTGTTCATGGAGCTGAACCTTGTCCTGATCCACCTGAGGCTGCAGGTCAGTCAAAAGGAAAAGGTGCCAGTTCTGCCCCTGGAAGAAGGACTGCAAGACAAAAACTGTGCTGCACATGTGAGAAAAACATCTGCAAAGCCCATTCTCACGTCCACACATACTGTCCTGCATGTGCTCAACAGAGATCATGTTGACAATGGTTCACAAAATCAAGCAACAATTTGTGAGAGAAGTATTTTTATCATTCACTTCCTAACAAATATAAAAGAATAAACTGTTGACAAAAAAGTTCCAGATTGTTGACTCTTTTTTTTCCCCTTTCAGTATAATTAATTCAGAATAATTACTTTACATTTATACAATAGCAATAATAAACCTTTACTGTGTTATGACAGTTGGTTTGTGGTTAAAAAAAAAAAAAAGTGTGATGCTGTTCACTGGTGATTGTCCTTTTCTATTGTGTAACAAAAAATATATGATAAAAAATGAATTAAATTGAGGTGAATTGATAAATAACAGGTTGTTTCATCATGCAAAATAGATTTTGGATTTAAAATTCACCTAAGCTGCTGTATGTTGGGGCTTTGGTTGGGCGGGTCATTTTTAGGGCAAGGGGAGTAAACAAAATGTTAAGATTGCACAAGGGCATTTCCTCAAATAATGCTAGTCCTTCATTTTAGTGTTTTTACACTTGCATTGATTGTTTTAAATGCAGCTTCTTGCCCTTTAATTCTAGTGTGAAGTGTTTGTGCAGTCAAGAGTTAGGTGTTGAATCAGCTGACATGAGGGCACCAGTCATGTGCCTCCAGAGCTCACTACTGTCCTGCCCTTTATTATGAGGAAGCAGAAGTTGGGTTTAGGACAGATTTCATGTGGCTACAATGAGTGTTGCTGTTTTTATATTTTATGTTTTCATTTCACCCAGAGAGAGTGGGAACCCCACTGTGATCACAGGCCCAGATTATTATGAACTGGAGAAAAAATATTGTTTGTTACTTCAAGTTTGGGATGAATAATAAAGTAGAGCGGGAAACAGCGCATTTATTGTGGAAATGTCTTTATAAGAAGTCAACATCTTTGATTAGAACAGCCCAGAGCCTGGAACAGCCCACAGGGGGGTCCACTGAGAACCCTCCACCTGTGCGTGAACCCTCCACCTGTGCGTGAGCGCCATCTACTGGTTGGTTTGAGTTGGTGTTTTGTCTCATGCCTCAGTTCAAGTTGTTGAGTTTTGGCATTTACAAAAGGAAACTTTATCCTCTTGATTCAGTCAGGAACAAGTCTACAACCTTGAGCTCCAGCTGAAACACCTCCACATCTACGAGTGAGGCACACGGGAGCGTTTGGAGAAATTTAATAAAGTCTGTACGATTGTTAAATCACAAATGTGATGTCCTTTAACTCGTAGTTCATGCAATAACAAAACTTTACCCTAAGTATCTGCCAAAATCATTGCCATCTAACGTGTGTGTTAGCAAAATATCTCGTGAACCACTGGATCATTTATAATGAAACTTTACAGAAACTTGTCAATGGATGTACACTTTTTCAAGTGATTAATTTTTGGAGCAAATCCATTTTGAGATGACTGCCACAGCTAATCAACATGGATCTAACTTAGGCGGCACGGTGGCTCAGGTGGTAGAGCCCTCACTTCTCAGCAAGAGGGTCGCTGGATTGAATCCCGGTCCGAGGGCCTTTCTGTGTGGAGTTTGCATGTTCTCTCCGTGCATGCGTGGGTTTTCTGCTGGTACTCCAGTTTCCTCCCACAGACCAAAAACATGCATGTTAGGCTGATTGGTAACTCTAAATTGTCTCTAGGTGTGAGTGAGAGAGTGAATGGTTGTTTGTCTCATTTGTCTCTATGTGTCCCTGTGATGGGCACCAGTGACCCCCGTGACCCAAAATGGAAGAAGGGGATGGATGGATGGATGGATGGATTTAGCACTTGTGTGCAGCCCACAAATGCAGGGGGAAGCTCTTTCCAGCATTTCTCCTCTGTTCTGCTTGGGCTTTGTGAAGGTTAACCCTTTGCTGTTCAGATGAACCGGTCAACTTTTGTCTTCCAACTTAAAATTAAAAGTATGTCAGATCGTAAAATCATCATAATCACAAAATATAAGCGTTAAAAGGGGCAGGGTATAGAACACCCGCGATAAACAAGGGACTAATGTAGTTCCACGAACGAAGCCAAGATTCATCTTGTCTGCTGGATTCCTTAGATAGAGAACTTTACTAATTGTCTTTTATGTATGTGAATGTTCCTGTAAAGTGCCCTGAGACAACTTTGTTGTGATTTGGCACTACATAAATAAACTGAATTGAATTGAATTCCCTTAATTAATATCTACATTCTGGATCTGCTTCATCTATTGACAATGACTGGTTCTGTACCACAGGACTTTAAGACTCTGTAATCCTTTACTTGAGAATATTAATCTGGATTCAGAGGTTCTGGCCAAATATAGACCCATGTTCTATCTTCCATTAGTTTCAAAAAATCTTGAGAAGACAGTGGACTTGTGTCTACACTGGTCCTGTTAGATCTCAGTGCCCCGTTTGATACAACTGATCACAATATTTTACTACAGAGGTTATATTATATTGAGATTATAAGAACGGCTCTAAAATGGCTTGAATCATATTTTTCTCATAGGCTCCATTTTGTTCATGTTAATAATTAATCCTTTTTCTTTACCAGTTATTTATGGAGTTCCTCAGGGTTCCGTGCTTGGACTGACTTTACTCTGCTTATATTACATTTATTATTGTTCCTTACTTTTCTAACAGAGCACTTTGCTGTCAGACTGCAGGCTTACTTGCAGTTCCTAGAGTTTCCAAAAGCAGGATGGGAGAAGATCTTTGAGTTATCAGGCTCCTCTCTTGTGGAACCAACTTCCAGTTTCTGTCTGTGAGGCTGACACATTGTCCAGTTTTAAAGTTAGGCTTCGTTCCTTTTTGATCAGTCCTATAGTTAGGGTCAGCTTGGTTTTTCTGAGTTATCCCTTAGTTATGCTCCTATAGGCTACTGGAGGACAAATTGACCCCATTTCCTCATTCTGCTCTTTTTCACTCTACTGTTTGTATTTGTATTAACTTTTTTCTATCAATATGTTTTTGTCTAAAAAAGTTAAATCTGGTCCTCTGGGTATTCAAAAAAACAAAACAAAGTAAAACAACAAAAAATCTAGAAACGTTTCGTCTCTCATCCAAGAGACTTCTTCAGTCTGAGGAGCTGTTTTCAGCTCAGTCTCTTAAATAGCACCTTCTCAGGGTGGATCAACCAGTTTTGCTGCTGACAACCAAAACCAGCTGATCACATGCTCAAGAAGGACCATCAGCCTAACAATGGATCATTAGCACACTGATGGCTGTTTACTATTCACAGAGGGCTGAGTGATACTAGCAATCACAGCATTGTAAGAGGACAGTTGAACCCGGAGGCCTCCACCCCTGTTTAATGATGGACGGTTTCTTTTCACAAAGATGGCCTCCTTTACTCCTCTCTCAAACCATCGTTCCTCTCTATCCAGGATGTGAACATCTTCATCCTTGAAAGAGTGACCGCTGGCCTGGAGATGAGTGTAGACCGCAGAGTCCTGGCCTGATGATGTTGATCTTCTGTGCTGGTCCATCCTTTTGACCAGTGGCTGTTTTGTTTCCCCGATGTAAGACTGATCACCCTCCTGACACTGAACAACATACACAACATTACTCTGTTTGTGCCGGGGGAAGGTGCTGTTTAAGAGACTGAGCTGAATACAGCACCTCAGACTGAGGAAGTCTTTCGGATGAGAGACGAAATGTTTCTACATTTTTTGTTGTTTTACTTTGTTTTGTTTTTTTTGAATGTCCAGAGGACCAGATTTAACTTTTTTTTAGATTTTTCTACCTGGATTATTGAGCATGCATCAGGATAATATGTTTTTGTCTTTCTTCCCATAGAAACTTCACCAGGACCTGCTATGTTGTGTTTGTATTGCTGTCCTGCCCTCTCTAGCCCCAGAGGCGGATGGATGCCCATGCTGAGCCTGGTTCTGGTTCTGCTGGAGGGTTCTTTCTGTTAAAAGGGAGTTTTTCCTTTCCACTGTCTCCTCTGTGCTTGCTCAGGATGGGAGACTGTGACGAAGTGAAGATTCATCTCAATCTGCTGACTTCCTCAGAGAGAGAATTTTACTGATTGGCATTTTCAAATGGATGTGAAAGTTTTTGTACAGTGCCCTGACAGGACGTTTGTTGTGAAATAGTGCTATATTACTAAAAAGAACTGAACTGCTGCATCATCTTGACAAATAAACAGCAGGATAAAGACAAGAAACTGTTTAGAGAACACAAAAGTTGTTTTTACTTAAACAGTAGTACACATATTTTGCTTGGCAAAAAAATACCTCATATTACCCAAAAGATTTTGCTTGAAAACATTTTTTTTTTTTTTCAAAAAAGCGTTTATGATGATGTTCACATATCCCTGCTTGAAATTTCAAATTAGTCTTTCAACGACAATCGATTTATTTACAAAATTTTGGAAATTTGTGCAATAAAATATACAGAAAATTAGAAAATTTTCAGCTGATTTTAAATCAAAACATTTAACAAAAAAAGGCACTCTGAACACTTTCACTTTCATCAAGGCACAATTAGACTATATTAAAACATTTACAGTAATATTTTACAGTTCATGAACGATGCTGCTGAAAACAGTCTAAGAGGAACCATCAGCATGGCTAAATATCAGTCCTCAGCATCATCGTGTTGGTGAAAATGGTTTTTATCCTCTTAGGATCCCACATGGTTTGGGTTTTACCCCCAGTTGTAGTACTGCCTAGTACACCAAGTATTTGAGTTCGGAGTAAACGAGTGGGAAAATGACTTTGCAGGCCCGGTACAAGATGGCTCCACTTTTAAATAAAGCTCGGGGTTTGGTGCTCCAGGACTCGGACTTAAATTTGAAGTAGGTTGCGTACAGCGCCACAGCAAAAAAGTGTCCAATCAGGGTCATGGGTTTGGGTGTTAGCCTGGAATGGAGCAGAAAAGGTTTCGTAAAAAGAAAAATCTGTTTCCACGTTTACAGACAGTAAAACAAAACTTTCAGACAAAAATGAAGGGCTGACAGTTAGGACATGTTGGAGTGTGCACAGCTAATACAACGGATAATTTCATGCAACGGTTCCTCCTGAATCTTTCTGTGGCTGCTAGAATTAAAAACAGCTTCACTTAAAAAGCTGAAACCTGAGACCTCCTCTGCTTAACGTTGTTTCTCATAAACAAAAATATCCTTGGGATGTGGGTGACAGCACCTTAAGAGGAGACGTCCTTCTCTTTCCATTCCACCAAACAGTCTAAGAATGGCAGCTTGTTGTCGTTAGCATCCTCTCTGATGAACTGCATGATGGTGACAGAGTTGCCATGTCTGGTGAACCTTTCTAATTCCTTAGCTTAGATTTTGAGCCAGGTATCATCAGAATATCACCATCATCTTGTATCGCTCTTTGTTTACGTTCATGTTCATGTCTGTCTGTTCCATCTCACATATCTCATGAACTATTAATTGGACATTTATATTTGTTTATTTCATGATGCATGTATTTATTTAATTTTGTCACATTCCACCCTCCATAACATTGGAGACATGAAATAAATAAATGCAGTGAAATTATTACATATATTTTTAAATTAAAAAAATTATTGAAAATTACATTTAATTATTTATTATTTAAAATGTACATTTATTTATTTAATGGGACATTTAATTAATTAATTGTGCTTTTAATAATTTAATATATTGTATATTTAATGATTTATTAATGTATTAAATAATTAAATTACACATTTAATTATTTAGGGCAGCACGGTGGCACAACTGGTAGAGCTGCTGCCTCTCAGCGAACAGGTCCTTGGTTCAAACCCCGGTCCAGGGGCCTTTCTGGGTGGAGTTTGCATGTTCTCTCCGTGCATGCGTGGGTTTTCTCCGGGTGCTCCAGTTTCCTCCCACAGACCAAAAAACATGCATGTTAGGCTGATTGGTAACTCTAAATTGTCCCTAGGTGTGAGTGAGAGAGTGAATGGTTGTTTGTCTCGTTTGTCTCTATGTGTCTATGATGGACTTGCGACCCGTCCAGGGTGTACCCCGCCCCTCGCACAGTGATTGCTGGACATGGGCACCAGCGACCCCCGTGACCCAAAATGGAATAAGCGGGTAAAGATGATGGATGGATGGATTTAATTATTTAATAGTGCATTTATTTATTTCATTGTACATTTATTTATTGAATTGGACATTTACATTTATTTATTTAGCTAAACATTTACATTTATTTCATGATGTATTTTATTTATTTACTTTTGTCACATTCCACCCTCCATAATGAACCACTGGATGGGATTTAGATGAAACTTTCAGAAAGAAGCCACTGGATGCAGAGCTACACCTCCTTATTTTTCGGAGTCACATCAGTTCAAGATGACCACCAAAGCTAATTGATACTAGCTGGAACAAACCTCTGTAACTCGGACATGTTTTTAGCTAAGATGTCATGCATCTGAGAGTTGTTCATGACATACTGTACGCTGAGCCTGAGAGTTAACATGAAAATATTTTCTGAGTTTGAGTAAATCATTTTTCAACATAAGATTTTATTCTGAAACTCTGGCTTGAAAGAGAGAGGGCGATATGCATTCCTTCAAGGATCGCCAGGCCTTTAATTAAGCTGCTTTCAGTCCTCCTGCTCCAGTGATGCAAACTGGAGTATTATTTGTAGCTGGAGGTCAGTTTTTAATACTCACACTGAGAGGAGTCCAATTGGCCCGGTGACACACTGTCCTCCGAGCTTAAAGTACTGGAAGCAGGCAGCTCTGAGTTCATGAAGATAATCTAATGAAACAAGGAGATTGAGATTAATGCAGATTCTGTCTGTCGAGCAAACGTGGTCATCTGCAGAGGGACTCACTGTCGGAGGCTGAAAACAGCTCGTACAGAGCCTGGGCCAACACGTTCACCACAAAAGAATGTGATGACTTGCGTTCCCAGTGGAATTTTTTCTTTGCCTGTTGGGATGAGAGACAAACACACAGCAAGGTGTTAAATGGCGTGCGGGCCTGCAGTCTCCCACCCACAGCAGAGACTCAAAGCATGAGGCAGTCGGCTCCTGTTTAGACACGTGACCAGGTTTGATCCAGAAAAACCAACAGACTTTCAGGCACAGGGCTCCGTTTTATTATCACCTGACGCCGAGTGCAAAGGTGTAGTACTGTAGTAATGTCTTCGATCATGTCTGTGTATGTGTGTTTGTCTGTACTGTTAGAAAAATACTAATATGACTGATGATGGGTTTATTTCAGAACCTTAAAGGGGTTTTGGACTGAAAGCAGTGAGCCCTGTAGTGAGCCCTGTGGTTCACCGCAGACTGGTGTGGAGTTCAGCACAAATAAGGCAGTTTGTACAACTCTGTCCTGGTGGGCATCTCTTTCCAATAGATTTTAATAAGCTCAAATATATGTTCGTTTTTGGTATACCATGTCCTGAGAAGAAGTAAAAACTTGTTTTTATCCAAATGAACACATCTTCATCTTCAGAAAAATTAAAAAAAACATATTGTTTTGCTTGAGAAGCATACTACCCCCCCCCCCCCCCCCGCCCCCCAATCCCCTACTGCAGGCATGTTAGCCAATCATTAGGCCTGTCATGATAAATTTTGCTGAGCGATTGTCTCCAAAATTATTGTGATAAATGATAATATTGTTTGAAATTTGACAATAATTAGTAATTATAGTGCAGCACGGTGCCGCAACTGGTAGAGCTGCTGCCTCTCAGCGAGCAGGTCCTTGGTTCAAACCCCGGTCCAGGGGCCTTCTGGGTGGAGTTTGCATGTTCTCTCCGTGCATGCGTGGGTTTTCTCCGGGTACTCTGGTTTCCTCCCACAGACCAAAAACATGCATGTTAGGCTGATTGGTAACTCTAAATTGTCCCTAGGTGTGAGTGAGAGAGTGAATGGTTGTTTGTCTCGTTTGTCTCTATGTGTCCCTGTGATGGACTGGAGACCTGTCCAGGGTGTACCCCGCCCCTCGCACAGTGATTGCTGGACATGGGCACCAGCGACCCCCGTGACCCAAAATGGAATAAACGGGTAAAAGATAATGGATGGATGGATGGATAGTAATTATAGTCAAATATAAGAAGAAATGTTTAATTTGTTTTGAATGTAGTACTTTTTTTCGACCACTGGATGGCGGTATAAGACTGTTTGAACTGAAGAAAAATGAAAGGGAGGCTCCTTGATGTGACATGGGCTGTCTTTCTTTGGTTCTCAAAATGGCGGACGCTCGGTGTGGTTTGAGCTCTTTAGCATAGCATTTTTCACACAAAACTGTTAATAAAAAATCAGTAAACAAGTTCTCAGCTTCTTTTGCAGAGAAAAACAACTTTTTACACGAAGCACGGGTTTCATCCGTGAATTTTGGAGCTTTGACAAGACGGAGATTTTTTCCTGAGGTCGGCCTGTTAGCTTAGCTCGTAGCTTAGCTTCTCAGCTTAGCTGCTTTTAAAGATCCAAAAACATGATTTTGGACAGTTAAAACAGATTTTAAAGAGAAAATAGAAAGGGAGGGGTCAGTGAAGAACACCGGAGTTGAGCTTTTTGTCATCCAGTGTCTTCAGTAGAAAGAGAGAGACACAAAGAAACGATAAAGCCGATAAATGAAAATTAGGTAATGTTCATTTATCATGAGATTAACTGATTTATTGTTTATCGCGTCAGGCCTACCAATCATAATCCAATTCCCCCAAATCCCCACTTGAGCAAGAAAGTACTCAACACCTCCCACCTGAAAAAGCACACCCTCATTCCTCACATGATACTTTGGGTTAGAATATAATTGTTTTAAAGCGGCAGTATGATATTTCATCATTTCTATCTGGCAACCCTGGATCCTGACAGCAGTGGGGGGTGGAGAACTCAGGTGAAGAGTGACCGGCTCATCAACATGAAACAGATGGAGCAAACTGCTCCACCTGCTAGAGCTGCTGCAGCTAACGTGCACCGCAGTAAATGCAGCTTTGTTCTGCTGCGCGTGTGCTCAGTGCAGCAGAGAACTGTGCACAGAGCAAACCTTACTAAGGAACTGGTTTCAGAATGCAGCAAACTTTGCCACTTTCATTCTGGCCCAGTTCACTTCCATCCTCAGTTATCTGATTGAGACTTTTGGTGGTGGTGGTGGTGGTGGTGGTGGTGGTGGGGGGGGGGGGGGGGGTGAGTGCAAACAGCGTGAGTAATTAACGTGCAATTGCAACACGTTTTCGGGGTTTGTTGCACCAAACGTAAACAGGCACTTCAGAGCTGACCTCAAATAACCCCAAACAAACTCATTACAAATTTGAAAAGCCAAACGTGAACCGGTCCTGAAGGGCCCTGTCCACGTAGCAGACGGGTGTGAGCGCTCACCTGGGACAAAGCTGCGTCGTCGTACAGATCTGGAATGTTCCGGAGAAGACGCCTCCAGATGCAAACATCGTTCAGAGCGACGCTCATCCCTCCCCCCGTCAGAGGATGCCTCATGTTGTAGGCATCGCCCAGCAGCAGCACACCTGGAAAACAACACACTCCTGTTGAAGTCAGTTATTTCACTTTATGTTTCTCTGCACGACTTGTTTAAAGGCCTCGAGTTCCCTGAACGAGGGAACATCACCTTCCATGCCCGAGTCTTACACTAATGTCTCTGTCATGACGAGTGCGGCTCCGCTCGGCTCTCGTCTTATCGGTTCTTCTCAGGTGTCGGTGGTTTGCCGCTGGGACTTGGTCCCCCGCTCTGTGGGAGGGATCGTCAATGCAAAGTGGGCAGATTCATAACTGGTCATTGTGTTCAAGCCACTCCGCACGTCGTGGTCCTTAATCTCTCTATAATCAGACTTCAGCTAATTTATCTTATCCCGGCACTGCTTATAAGTCCAGGTGTAGCCATGCTGAGCCATCATCTCTGATATCTCTCTGTAAGAACTCTCATTTCTGGTGGCGTCGTCCGTCAACACGATGAGGAAGTGGAGGTTCTGATGTAGTTTAGTTCTGCCGGGTCGTCCAGGGTTGTAGCTCTGCTGCCCAGTCAACGGCTGCTGTCTGCTTGGATCCACAAAACAAGGTGGTCCCATAAACTGGGCTGAGTGGGATGAGTACCGGCAGTGGGGAGGCCCTTAACTGGTGCCATACGTGCAGAGCTGAGGAGAGTTGAGACGGTGGAAAAGCGCCTTATGATGTTATGAAAAGACAGCGTTTGTAGCCATTTTAGGCAAACCTTGTAAAGAACAATATGATGCAACATCTCACAAGTTGTGTTAGCTCTCTGAGTGTGTGCTGAGGATGACTCTCAGATATTACCACACCCAACTTTAGCTGAATAACTTAAACAGAGTTAAAGCCATGTTTGTGTTTCCTAAACGTCCTCATCTGTGGCAGCTCTCTCCAGTGGAGTTGACTCCAGATGTTCAGAAGTTGTAGATAAACATCCAGTGATTAATTTCTGAAAAGTTCATTGAAGTCTATCCAGTGGTTCATTAAATATTTTGCTAACACAGCAGACAAATGCTCACACGCGCACAGAGATGGACGATAAAGTTCATTCGACAGAAACATGTCTTAGTATTTTCATCAAACAGTAAAACATGGAGCTTTCTGTGATGCTACACATCAACCAGTACATGAGTCAGAGTCGGTTCCATCTCCAACCAGAAGCTCATCCATGTGACTTCAGTACCTGGCTTGTTGACCGGGGAGGGAGGGAGGAAGCTGGCAGGCATGGTTCTGAGTCGGTCATTCTGCACGGCCACCATGAACGGATCCTTGAAGTGCTCTGGACAAAGGAGAGGAACACATGCAGGAGCACGCTGGGACCATCCAGAAGAAAACACAGCAGCGCTCTGGTCGAACACACTGCTAAGAAGTGTGTGACCCTTTTACAACTCCAGGTCCAGAAAAGTTGGAACAATGTGTAAAATATATATTTATAATAAAACAAACAATGCAATGATTTTCAAATTAATTCATCCATTTTCCCAATTAAACATAGTAAACATCAAATATTTACAAAAATTGTACCATTTGTTGGGGAAAAGTCCAGTAACTTAAAATTGATGGCAGCAATGCATCTCAAGAAAGTTGCTACATGTCCATGGTTCCTCCTGCGAAGTGTCCCCTCTTCTTCTGAAACCTCCAGGACCTGAGGAGAGCAGCTGCTGGAGTTGTTGGAGGGAATGTTGTCCCGTTCTTGTCTCATGGAGGATTCCAGCTGTTTAACAGTGTTAGATCTAATGAGATGGATTTTATCTGCTATGGTGTGTCTGGTTTCAACTGGTGAGAAGTCTGGAGTGCAGACAGAGTTCAGCACCTGAAGCCATGCTGGTGTAATGGACGCAGTCAGTGGTTTGGCATCGTCTTGCTGAAATATGCAAGACGTTGTCCAGATGGGAGCAAATGTGTTTCTGGAACACTGACGGTGCCTTTTGCAGATGTGTAAGCTGCCCATATCATGGGCACTAATGCACCCCAATACCATCAGAGAGGCAGGCCATTGAACCGTAGGCTGGTGAACCTCTGCCCATCTTCACTTCTGAGAGGTTCAGTCTGTGTATGCTCCATCTTCTTACTGACGTGTTGACCTGATTTGTTGCCAAACGCTCCTCTATCTGTTTATTTGTATTTTTACAAGTGAGATGTTTTACTGCCATCAAATTCAAACTCAACTTGAACTCTGTGGACTATGTTCCACTGTGAATAAAAAACGGGTTTATTATGTTTGCAAATCGTTGCATTGTGTTTTTATTTATATTTTTCACACATTTCAACGTTTTTGGACTTGAGCTGGACGACACCTGGAAGTCCATCAGCTATTAATACACAAAAACGTCTTCTTGGTTGTTTACCTGGCATCTGCGGGTAAATTTTCTCAGCCAAGTACTCAGGAAGATTACGAGGCATCTCCCCTCTGATGTCGACGAGGACTCTGGTTTCAGATGAAGAGATCTGGTAGATGAGCACTGGACTGGGGTTGGCCAGAACCAGCTCGGCATGGTTGGCCTTAAACTGGGGACAGTCCTGTGAGGAGGAACAGCTGGTTTTATTTGATGAAATAAAGCTCTAACTCACTTCCTTTCATACATGTCGCCTTAGTTTAATGGGTCATGAGTCTAATTCAGTGTGTTCATGAGGAGAAGCAGCTGCAGACCCTTCTGTAAAAACATCTCATGAACCAGCAGACAGGTGTTAGTGAAACTCCCTGAACGTAATCACTGGATGTTCACCTGCAGCTCATTAACTTCAGGATCTAATTAATTTGAGCTTGTTTTCTAAATGGCATCTTGACACCAGGTGTCCAAACATCTTCAGAGGTTTTCAGGTTTCAACCATGTGGTGGTGCAGCCAGGAGCTCAAACTAATGCTGGAGATTTCACAGAACAAACAATAAACCCGAACTGTTCCAGCACCAGAACCTCTTCATGTCCGTCTTTAAAGGGCGGCTCGTTCTCACCTTCATGAGGAATCCAACGAAGTGCGAGGAGGTGCGAGCTTTCCCGGAGACCAGACTCTTTCTGAATTTGGAGAAGCAGCCGTCGGCCACCACAGTGAGAGCGGCGTGGATCACCTGCAGGACACACAGCCTCTGAAGGGTCAGCACAGCCCCACACTTCCTGTCAGTGATGTGAGCGTGAAGGTCCATCTTCTCACCTTCGTGTCTCCGGTCTCTCTGTCTTTGTACTGGACTCCAGTGACGCAGCCGCCCTCCTCCTGCAGACTGCTCACGGTGCCTTCTATGAATGTGACACTAGAGGGTGCACACAAACAGAAGCTGAAGAATCTGTGCAGCTTCTACTGAACCTTCAGACAACGAAGTTCATGCTCAATCATCCACGTATCAAATCCTCAGTCAGGTCATCTGGACAGTTTAGAGAACTATGAAGTCCACTTCAACGTGCTTTTGATTCTAGACATTTTTAATAAAACTAATCGAGAAGTTTTCCTCCATCTGTGAACGTTCCGTGATTTTACCGTCACTCTACTTGCATGTACTTTGTGCTAATTTAACTTTATAAATAAAATGTTCAGCTTGATTAGGATAGTGTTTGTAATTTTATCTGTACTATTCAAATGTTTCTAAATGTTTAACTTTATTATCAAACTTCCTTCGTAGCGTCACATTTAGATCCTTTCATATATCAGACGTGTTAACTTTCTTATGCTCTATTTAGCTTTTAGCTACTGCTTTGATAATTGTAGCTTGTAGCTACAGCTATGTTAATTTTAATTTAACTGTGGTTTTGCTCATTTTAGCTAGCAGTAACAGTTTTTCAAAATTTTGATTTTAGCTACTATTTTACAAATTATTTTGCTAAAGCTATTGTTTAGATTTTAGCTACTGTTTTGCTCATTGTAGCTTGTGCTATAGTTATGTTAATTATAACAACTATGTCAAAGTTCATGCTCAATAATCCAGATATAAATCCAACAATGTTCAGTCAGGTCATCTGAATGGTTTCTTTTTTTGTTGAGACGTTTTGTCCTTCATCCAAAGGACTTCATCAATCTGAGGAGCCACTAACTGACTGAGAATCACCAGCAGCTCACTCCCATCAAAGAAAAAAACAGTTTGCTGGTGATAAGATGGTTTCTGTGGTCCGCCCTCTCCCTCGTTGACTCCTCTGAGGCAGCCATAGCCTCATGCGATTTTTTTACCTGGACTATTGAGCGTGAACTTTGATGTTTTGAACCACTTTGGCTGCAGTTGCCTCAGAGGAGTCGACAGAGGAGAGGGCGAGCCCCAGAAACCGTCTTATCACCAGCAAACTGGCTGGTCTAATTTGCGTGTGTGCTGCTTGTGGGACTGAGTTTGTTGTGGCTCCTCTGACTGAAGAAGTCCTTTGGATAAAGGATGAAACGTCTCAGCAAAAAGAGGAACCGTCCAGATGACCTGACTGAACTTTGTTGGATATAACAACTATAGTTTTGCTCATTTGAGCTAGTAGCTACAGTTTTTCTAATTCTAGTTTTTAGCTAATGTTTTACTAATTGTAGATTTTACTAAAACATTGTTATATTTAGATTTTAGCTACTATTTAGCAATTAGCTTTTGTTCTGGTTATTTGATCTTTTAACTACTGTTTTCCAAATTTACCTTTTACTCTTACATTTTTAGTTACTATATTTCTGCTGTTTTGCTGGTTTTAGCTGTTAGCTTCAGGATACAACACTACCTTTCACCCACTGTTTTGCTCATTTATAGATTTAAGTTACAGTTTAGCTATTTTTAGCATTTCGCTACTGCTCTTTTTTTCATGCATGTTTTAATTTTAGCATTTCAGTTTCAGCTCCTTCAGCAGATTCCACAGCATTTCACAGAGACGGTTCGTGTTTCCAGTTGTCAATTGACCTTTTTTATCTCATGGCTCTGCTTACTTGGGCTCAGCTCTGGCTGCTCTCCTCAGGCTCGTGATGAATCGTCCGTGATGGAAGGCAAACCCACACTGGACACTTCCCTTCTCCTGGGGGTACGGGATCTGCACCTCTTCATGGCTGTCTAAGTTGTGGATTATGTAGCCGTTCACCTGATGAGCATCCAGACCCTCCACCGAGCCTGAGGACCAACACAGCAGGCTTCAGTTACCTCTACACACTGAACTACACACTGAACTACACACTGAACTACACACTGAA